TTTTTTTTTTTTTTTTTTTTTCAAAAAAAGAAAAACTGCTCAATACTTCAAGTTTAGAATAGTTTATGCCACTTAGTCAGAAGCACTGCCCTTCGATTCTTTCTGCGGTAAATGCATCGCTCCAGTGACCTCTGCAGCAGTACTTTGTCAATATATACTTCTTCGATGTTTTGACTGTTTCTTCTTCGACCTACCTCTCCTCTTAAATCGCGTGTTAACTGCGAGGAAGTTTCCCTGAACGACTAACTGCATGACTGCCAATTGAAGGCGTTTTAACGACGTTTTTCCCAATTGCATACATCATGAAGGGCTTGTTAAAATTTTCCTTCAATTTGATGCCCCAATGACTCCATTCTCCCATTTAAAATGAAAAAAAAAAGAAAAAAACACTGATTTTTCTGAACGATGGATTAATAATACCAAATTCTGATCATCTGATTAATAATTTTTACTTTAATTTCTGTATTTACTTATTTTATTATTTTTTAAAAGTTGAGCATATGTTTTTATTTTATTCCACCCGTTTATTTTAGGTATGCAGCTGCTGCCAACAGAAGACTTGAATATGACAGTAGATCCTCGCTTACGGCCTTTTCCTCCAGATCCCTCCAGCGAACAATCCATGCAAATTTACCAGCAGCATGAAGAATTAATGGGAAAATACCTGCAAATACAGATGCAAATCGCTCAGCAAACTGATTTTTTGAAGCAGCTAGAAGGAAATTTAAAAGAAACTGAACCAACAAATGACCAAGAGATGGAAGTAGAGCTCCAAAAATTAGAGCGAGAAAAAGTAAGTACTGAGTAGACGTAGAACTATCTTACAAATTATGGGGTGTGACTTAAAAAAGCATGGGATCTGAAAAAACTAGAAAATACTTAGATTGGTTGTGGCCCATGACTTTTTCATTAAAAATCTTGTTTTCAAAGATTGAGGTAACTCACTCTAGACTCTTTAACTTTCAATTCCTTATGGGGAACAATCCCTCGAATGGTGAATCGAAATGACTTCAAACAACATTTGGACTGCATTTTGCAATTTGGAACTATAAATTCTGGCCCGGTTTAAAAACAACGTATGTGCCATTAGTTTCCCTATGCTCATAAGTGTTTTTTCAGATGAGCCAGAATTTTCAGTTCCAAATTGCAAAATGCAGTCCATATGAGAACTTTCAAACAAGCTGAAATCTAATCTGTGCACAAATCTGTTAGGCCTGGACCAGAAATGCTTGTAGGAAAAGAGATGTCGGACTAATGAGAGTGTGAAAAATGATTCTGGTTAATTTCACTGCTTTGTGTCTTGAAGTTATTTTAAAGGCAAAAACAAGTCGCAAAACCTTGGCAACATTGCATTGCATTCCATCTTCCTTTGTTGAATTTGGTCCCAGAAGAATTCCAGAAATTGATGTTATGAAGTCATTTTTTTTGTCATGTTTCAGGAAAGTTTGATCAAGCTGATAGCAAATCTAAAGCAACAGCTTGACATGATCCGAAAAGCGCGTAAAGGAGATGCTGATACCTGGGTGTATGTAGAAAGAGCGCAATCCTCCAACCCACCAAAAAATTCTTGAGCCTAGAAAAACAAGTACATTCTTTTACATTATCGGAATGCTCTTTTCTCCTCCTCAAGTGAGGATTTTTATCAGTATTTCAGTTACACTGAAGATCCTCACTTCAATTGATCTGTGATTTGAATCGGGAAATATTTTAATGTTGGTGAATTGGATTTTGGTCGTGATCGTGGTTTCTTGGATTGGGATGAAATATCTTGGACGTTGGAACTCATCAGGGAACAAAAAATTACTGGAAAAAACGAAGTTGGTGTTAAAATAAGAGTTTTTTTCTGTTCCTCTCTAAGACCAGTTTGTCTTGAAATTCAGAAGTCTTCGTTGATTTTATGCTGAAAAATTATTTCAGAGATAAAAATATCATAATTTCCTTACGGAATCTGAACGGAAGTTAAAATTTTCCCAAGGAAATGCGGGGAGAAAGGACAAAAAGGGTCCTTATCAGGGATGTTGGGTCTTAAAATCAAGTGAAATCAGGGAATGAGAAAATCGAAGAATTCAAGACGCCATGGTCAAGATTTTTATATAAAATTTCGATATAAGCTGTGAAAATCTGTAATAAAAGAATGCTATCAGGTATTATAAGAAATATAGATCTAGATCTCTGAATGATCACTTAATAATCTTAATATGTAGAGTATATAAAAAGTACTTAAGTATACTTAGTACTGGTTCCATAATCTCGGTGGAAATCGAGGTTGGACAGCTTCCTCGTGCTGAAATTCCTTGGACGTAAACCCAGTCGAAGTACTCTATGATTGCTACGAGTTCATCTGGCAGCTCTGACTCAAGTAAGTCGAGGGCTTCCTGCAAATCATCAGTCGGAACAATCGCTAACCTAAGGATACTGTGGACGTCAACCCTTTTCCTATTCCAGATTCGTTTACAAAATGTGCATCCAATATGCATTTCAAAGTAAAATTTGAAGTTTCAAATGCATTAAACAAAACGGGTAAAATTGGAGCCTTTCGATCTGGGATGATAAAGTAATAATTTTTAGCTATTTCTTCTTCAATTAAGTGTATAACAGAGAGAATATCTGTGCACTTCAAGCTTTTAACTTTCTTGGGCATAAACATTTCTGAGGAACTGTCTGAGTCACTAGTCTCTGTTCCGGCATCAACATCAATAACTTCTGGATGTTGATTATCGGCAACTCCGGGGTCATCAAAATCATCCTCCTCGTCAATTATGTTTTTCTCTGGTCTAATATAAATACGACTATCTTTCCTGGTATGCAATGATAAAAACTCACTGTCAATATCATCTTGCGATGCAACAAAAAATTGGATCAATTGTTTGCCTCTACATAACATTAAGTTAAAAGAATCTTCAATTTTCAACTTTGTGCTGAAGGTTAAAAAAATTAATCTTCAATTTTCAACTTTGTGCTGAAGGTTAAAAAAATTGTACTTGAAACTTGTGCAGCAGTCATACTCTTTTTTCTATCTTGAAATTTTAGTACATTTGTACCTCTTACAGGGCCAGGGCCGTAACTAGAATTGCAAGGGGGAGACCGTTTGAAAGGGCAATTTTTGACTTGGATGTAAAAAGCTAGTTGCCAGGGGAAGCAAAGAATGCAACTCTACATCTTGGACCTTTCTGTAAACTAAACAAACATGGTTGGACAAGTAGCATCTATTATGTTAATGGTAAAATTTAAAATTAAAGTACATAATAAGTTTAAAGAACCACAATGCTATTCATTATGTATAATCTCAAATGATTACTTACCTAGCCGAAGCTTCTCAAGACACCAGGTCCCATCATCAGGGCTTACATAAACAACACATGTAAACTACAAAGCAACTACAAAACAACTAAAATAAGCAAATAAAATAAGAAACTACATGATAAAAGCAATTACATTACGAGATCAGAAACTATTAAATGTATCAAAATAAATAAAATAAAATAAAGTAATTCATATTAGAAAGTTAAGATCATTGATAAGAGAATGACTCAAGTAAACAAGTGGCAAAGCATAAAACAGAGAGGAAGCCACATATGTACAAATGATAGTGAAAGCAAATGCATATAGGCGAAATGTCCCTGGTGAGAAATGTTGTAAATGAAAGTGTCTCTAGGCTAAAAATACGCAGGTCAAAAGTCTTAGGTGAAATGTCCAAGGTGACATATCTCGTAGGAGACTATTTCTTAGGTGAAGAGTCCCGGAATCATGAAAACATTCAACTTTCGAAAATTGCAAAAACAATTTTTTCTAAAAGATTTGCTTTAATTATTCTCGACATCATGTAGATCATAAACGCAACTGAATATGTACAAAATCCGTTTAAAAATTATGTGTTCCTTTTGATTATGTGAGCAAATTCAGATGAAAAAACCTGACTTCAGGAAAGCAACTTGAAATAAAAAGGGGGGGGGTATATGTGTTTTAAGTTCTTTATAGATTAAGCCAAGATGAAACAGTGTAAAAATTTTAAAAATTTTAAGCATGCTCAGGTATTAAGAAATTCTGCTTTTTTGCAGGAATATTCATAAGTTAAAAACTATTAAAGATGTTTTGCAAAGTTGAACAATTTCACTTGTGACCTCTTGTGTGTGTAGCTGTTTAAAGCATGTACAGCAAATCATTATTTACGATTCCCCTAAGGAGAAGGAGACTTGCATGAGTTGCTAAATTCTTCAGCATAGCGACAAAACACAGCTTTGGCCAAAATTATGGATTTCCAGTTTTTGATGCAAATCAATTTCTACGTTTCTCAAGGATATGTAGTTAAAATTTCAAGTCATAATTTGTATTTTTAACGACGTTATATGTGTTAAAAATGAATGGGATCATAACCAACAACAGCGCAAGGCCCTCATTTCAACTCATTGTCAGCCGAGTGTCTGTAAGATACCCACTTGATTGTAGGGTCATACTTATAGGATATATCGATTATGAGAGTATTTTAGAGTTCTTAGTACCATATACAGGTCGAGCAGGAGTTCTTTTTTAATGATAAAGAAGTTGAATTTGCTGGGTAAACTGCATGTTTCTGTAAATTATGATTTGTGTTGTCAAACTATAAAGTTTTCCAGAAAAGTCAAATTTTTGCAGTTTTTAGAGCTTTTCGTAGCAAATTATTCAGAAGCAACCCTTCTTCGTGAAAATATTGCTCATCTCAATTTTTATGGTTTTCACCTTTAGTCCTTTTTCCTTCAGATTTATCATGAGTATTTTGGGTCTTTGAGTTTGCACATAAAGAGGTATCTTCAGGAAGAAATGGAGGTTAGGTTTCCGAAGAACATAAGAGTCTTGCTGTTCCTGGTGGCTATGCATTTTTTAGCACCATTTTCTACTTGTACCTTTTTAGTTTTTTTTTGTGAATGTCAAATGTATGATTTGCCTCTCACATATTAATCTATATTACATTTTTTGTGAGTGTAAGGCTTTGTTTTTAGCCTGGACGTAAACATTCCAGTTCCCTCGCATCAAGTTGTATGATCTATGTGCTGTTTTGACATAAAATGATGCCATATTTTTGATCCCCAACTTTAGCTCCCAAGCTCCCAAGCTTTTGTATGCAGAGGCGGACAGGCAGGCGGGAACATAGGGAAAAATCCTGGTCGGCCTATCAAAATTTAAGGTGATTTAGCACTGGTTTTCATCCCTTATACGGCAAGAAAACAACTAAAATGGGCCGATTTTAGCTCTGATGGAACCGGTATTCCGAGCCACTTTTTCCGTGCCAGTCTGCCTCTGTTTGTACGGCATATCATATTCTGTTCTTCACCATAGTAGAAATTGTAGCCGTTGGAAGGAATTAAGTGCTGAACCACAAGATTATCTTGCAGCTGTTAATGCAATTTTCAGAAATCGCAGCTTAAATTTAATTTTTGAGATAAGAAGTGCTTCATTTTTTTAAAAATTGGATTGCTCCTTTGAAGAACCTATCTTGCAGTTTACAACAGCACTTACATTCAATTAGAAAAATGCAGCTTTCATAACTGCTGAAAGTTTTTCAACACAGGAATCTTAGTATAAATCATATAGATCTGCACCCAAGAGCGCTTGCAGACCTCATAAGATGTAACTAAGGCTCTTTAGCTTTACGATCAAGGTATCAACACATTATCTTTACAAGGTGAAGAAAGCAACCAAGGCATTAAAATTTCGCTATTCCAGTGGCTCAGTAGCTACTTCAAGCGCGTACAGCTTACTTCTCAATGGCCACTAAAGTAGGTATGAATTAAAGCACCAGATTATGTTTTCTCTTTAAAATTCAAGGTAAAAGCAATTAATACCACAGAAATTTCGAAAATGAACTCCCAAGCAAGATATCAACTTGTTTACTTAACACTGTGCTAATCTTATTTTTTGTAAAATTTTGAAGAGACTACATGTAAAGGAGGGTTTTGAGTTTGTACCCTGTCAGCCTCATTGAGTACTGTCTTTGAATACATAACCACTCAAATACTCTCTGCAATGCTGCTAAGATTGTGTGAACTACTTCATTGTTCTTGGAAAAACATTATTCAAAAAAGCTAATCAATTATGAAACGGATGTGTCTTTAACTGTGATTAACAAGAATTCAGAGTGGCTTTTGTCAAAAGAATTTTATGGTCAGATTTGTTTAACTTACAATCAACTTGAGTGCTTCGGAAGTGCCCCAAATCGTTACTGCATGTGACACCATTTCTTTTAGCTACCCTGTAGTATTTCAGTTACTATTTGTTAATCATATTTTTGTTAATTTTTAAGTTTTATCTGAAATTTTTATTAAAAGACTTGAATTTTTTCCTAAATTTCTCCTCATTATTTCACCACTCCAATTTATCCACGAGGGGCTGTTCTAATTTTACATAAGCCACTTTGAGGAGGGAGATGGTCTGAGCTTGCCTGATAAGATCTTGCAAGGGGAGAGGGGGTCAAGCCCAGTCTTACGTAAGCCTCCAATTTTTTAAAGACAAAAAAACAATTTCCATCAAAAGAAATTTTTTCAGCTATTTTTCAGGCTTTCTCCATTAGTTTTTCATAGGAGGTACCATTTAAGTACCATTTTAATCAACTATTGTGACCCTTATTTGGAAATCAAAAAGAAGCATTCCTGGCTCCCTGTCAAAGTAACAAGCAACACTATTGTCTGGAGAGCCTTTCAGCCTTTTTTTATCTTCTTCCATCAAGATAAAACTTTGAGTATCTCAGCTCTCATCTCTGAATCATCATTTTAAAAATTCTGGGGCTGTATTCAAAGTGAAATAAAAACATCAAAATTCATGATGAGAAAGAAAAGATTTAATTCATCAAAAATTCAAAAGCGTTTGTTCTCAAATGACAAATTTAATGAACAAAGTAACAAAAATTACAAAAGTTTTCTGTTTAGTTACAATTTTACACATACTCTCACACAGTTGTACTCTAAGCGCTTCTTCTTGAGAGTCAAATAAAAAGTGAGGACATCTGGCTAGTGGCAATATTTTTGGATTGCAACAGAATTTGGAGAGTCAAAATGATAATAAAAAGATAATAAAATAAAACAAAAATATATTCAACTCTGGCACTGCCACTTGAAAAAAATTTGAAATTTATCAAATGATGAACAATACAGATGTTGTGAACTGTTGCGTAAGGATTTCCTTTCCTCTGATGTAACATCTAACTCACTCATAATTTTCAAGTGACTTCTAATGAATAAAATGGAATAAATAGTCTGAACTTTCACAATTCAAATTTTAGTGAAGACAGAACAAATACTTAAATTATACAATTCAGGATTTTGATGCATATTCATTCCGCAAATTTATTGTTCGACATTTACAAACAGTTACATTTTCATTGTGTCTATTGATGACTAGCATCAGTAAACTAGGTTTCTGTCCTCACTCTACACTCCGAAAAAAAGGCGCTCTCATGCACATACACACAAACGATTTCCTAAATAAATAATGATTCAGATTTTATTGCAATAATAGAAAGATATTTAACTCTAATCATGAAATATCACAGAAAAAGTGGTCTTAACGACAAAATATTGGAAAGAAATATCGTCACTATCCAATTATTACATAAATTGATACAGGTAAAAAAATAACAATTACAAACTTTTATGAACTGTACATTAGCTAAATATAATTCTTAAAAGTAATTAAGAAGTGCGCGAAAAAAATAGGAAAAAAAATAGCACACTGGCACACATTCACTCACACTCAAAAATCAAAGTTACAAATAAATGGCAAAGGTAGAAAAATAACAAATATTTACAAATTACAAGAGCTAATGGAGAGATTATGAGGAAAAGCTGATTGCAGGTTTAAAATTTGTTCATGTTTTTTTGATTGGAAAAAAAGAAATTAAAATAAATCAGTTAAACTTTAAAAAATCAACGCTTAATGGAGACAGGAAATACATTCATTTGTATGAGAACAGCATAACATAAAATAATAGGTAAAGTCTAATAGAATTTGAAAAATAGTACATAACCAGTAAGATTCAACAAGGAAAGTAAAGAGAATCTCCAGATCATACAATAATACAGCTAATAATTTTACGTTAAAAATTGACAAAGAGCTGAGTCTCTTGAAGTTAACCCACAAATCGGAATGGATCAGTTGCGCTAGTCACGGAATCGTGCTCAAATGGGTTTCAGCTTACAGATTTGTAAAAAATATGATCTATGCAAGTTTCCACATCTAATATTAGCAAAGAAATCGCGCAACGAAGAACACAGTGTAAGACATCATCCACCACTGCAGAGCATACCATGGTTTCTTCTACCCTGAAAACTCGAAAAACTCGATAGTCAAATTAGATCTTTTACATGAAAAAAGCCTCTTAGTATTGGAGGTTTTGAGAAACAGCTGTAATAATCTGCCAATAGTTGTGTAATATTGATGGCTAAATGCGAAAAAATGCTTATCTCAATCACAATATTTAAATATCTCAAGTTATGTTTCATTTTCTCAGAGGAAAACTAATGAAATATATCTTTGCAATGTTGCATGATATTTTTTGAACGAGGAAGAAAGTTTTGATAAAAACTTATGGTCAATTTTCTTTTAAGAAATAAAGCATGAGTGGAGACTTGCAATGTTGCAATCTGAAAAATGCGTTTCTCATTTTTAAATTAGCATCTTGAAATTATCTACGGCAGAAAAAAATCGTAAAAATTATTTCAACCTCTACGCACTAAGTTCCCACTAATAAAGCTATGAAATTTTCCTATGAGAATTCCGTATTATCAGTTATCAGTTGTACTTACTCTCAAAATTTTTGTTGCATCAAAAGTTTTCCTTTTCTTTGAGTCAGGATCAACCTCGGCCTCGCTTCTTTTGTCAAAGGCAGTATTCATCAAGGTAGCATGCAATTTCACTTTTTCATACTGTTTACTCAAGAGTCCTAGAAATTAAGAATTCTTCTTTAGATTGCAAGGAAATAAAATTCAACATAATGATAATAGATCAGAGGCACTCATTTCTCAATTCATTTCCTTAAAAGATTGAGTGAACTAAGCTTCTAGGAATTTTTTCAGATTTATTTTAATCCTAAATGAGAAATGGACTGCTTTTTGAAAATTCTAAAAATGAGAACCATTCGAAACAAAATTTTTGACGGGCTCTGATGACTTATTCAGGCGGGGGAAGCGGCGTTTGCTGGTTGGCTGAACTCAGCGGCACGCATTGCCTTGCTACGTTAACTCCACTGTCGGCTTTTGATTGGTCGGATTTTAATCAGATTTATCTTCCTTGAGAAATAATTTTTTGAACTTAAAGGAAATTTTTGGGTTTTTTACAAGATTTTACACAAGATTATCTTGTAAACTTAAGCTCTTTTCTAGATCTGACGGCAGTAATGTCATATGTCTATGAAGAAATACAAACAAAAATGCTGGCAAATTATCGATTCAGCCTTGGATCTCTAGAGATTTGCAAGATTCATTTCTAAGGCTCAATAGGCTCAGGAGGCTGTGAAGAACTTCATATCGATGGCCAAAGTGCGTAACTATGTAGCGATTCGGATTTACAATTTAATAGGCTAATCTTAGAAATAATGAAAGTACATCTACAGTGTATGCTGCACATTTTCATGGAGTTATTCTTTAGTATTTTGTGATCAAATCTTGTTCATTAATATTTAATGCATTACAGGGTCATGTGGATTGCATTTTGCAAAAAGGAACCACT